AAAAAGTAAAAAAAGTAAAAAGTAAAAAAAATAAGAGTATAAAATGTAAAATATTAAAGCAAAGGCGGTATTTACAGTAGCTACAGTATTTAAAGCAGACAGTATTTACAACAGTATAAGTGGCATGTGCATGTGCAAATTCTGGTCCAGTGCAAATTATTGTCCTGAGGTATGTGCAAGGGGGGGATCAGTTCTGGGTTGGTTGAGGAGTTGGGTGCAGTGAGGGGTTGGGTGGGACGATGGCTCATCCCTGAAGAGCACAGGGGGCCAGTGGCGAATCTGCCAATCTTGGTGTTCTCTGGCAAATGCCAGTCGCTCTGCACGGTGTTGGGCTGTAAGCACAAGCCCCACTTGTAGACGTTGGGCCCTCATACCACCTCATGGAATCTGTTTCTGACAGTTTGAGCAGAAACATGCATATTAGTGGCCTGCTGGAGGTCATTCTGCAGTACTCTGGCAGTGCTCCTGGTCCTCCTTGCATAAAGTAGGAGGTAGTGGTCCTGCTGCTGGGTTGTTGCCCTCCTACGGCCCCCTCCACATCTCCTGGTGTCCTGGCCTGTCTCCTGGTATCTCCTCCAGGCTCTGGACACTGTGCTGAGAGACACAGCAAACCTTCTTGCTACAGCTCGCATTGATGTGTCATCCTGGATGAACTGCACTACCTGAGCAACTTCTGTGGGTTGTAGACACGCCTCATGCTACCTCTAGGGGTGAGACAAAATGCAAAAGTGACCAAAACATCATCCAGAAAGGATGAGAACAGAGACACGGTCTGTGGTCACCACCTGCAGAACCACTCCTTTATAGAGGTCGTCTTGCTAATTGTCTCTCATTTTCACTTGTTGTCTGTTCCATTTACACGACAGCAGGTGAAATTGATTCACAATCAGTGTTGCTTCCTAACTGGACAGGCTGATTTCACAGAAGTGTGATTGACTTGGAGTTACATTGTGTTGGTTTGATGTTTCCTTTTATTCTTTTGAGCAGTGTACTAACCACTGTGTACCAGGAACATCCCACAAGCCCTGCTGTTCTGGAAGTGCTCTGACCTAGTTGTCTAGCCATCACAATTTGCCCCTCATTAAAGTTACGACATGATCAATGTTATTTACTTTACCTGTCTGTCAGTGGTTTAATTGTTGTATCTCATTGATTGGCGTGTCCCCTGTTTCAATAACCTGCTGTAAGGTTATTTACACAATACTGTCTTTATTGATGTATAGTTGATATCTCAGTGTCAAGAAATCTTTATCAACTTTTAATAACGCAGAATAACTAGTCCCCCTTCTCTTCTCCAACATTCTTCAAATAATTAATTTTGCATTTGTTAAGTTTATAACGTAGTAGTTACTTGGGTCTTCTCTCTCTCTGTTGCCAAGATCATCCTCTGTTCTGCAGAAATTCACTCCCAGCTGTGTGCTGACAGCATCAGATCTGTCTGGGATCAATGAATTTGTGTCCTCTTGTTCACTGGTGCAAAGATCCACACTGCATTATTTTGACCTCTTCCAGGAAGCATTTTTTGGCTGTTTATACTGTGTATTGTGCACGTCGGTCCCTTATATGTACGTGTAACTCAGGTGTGAAAGTCTCCTCGCACAGCAATAAGAGCTTAACACGGTTCTAAGTTTATCTAAAGCGTATTTTTCTTGCATATTTTCCCCTCAAACTAAATGATTCATCACATAAACAGCAAGTATTTACTAATGTTATATCAACAACAGCTAACAGTGTGTTTTAACCACTGTCATCATTATGTTTGGTTACAGGTTTGATCCGGCTGCGCTCCAGTCCACCACCTCGCCTCCAGGGTGTTGAATACGTCCTTAATGTTACAGCTACGGATGACAATGCCTCAGGCGGACCTCAGGCACTGTCATCCACAGCCCAGGTCATAGTTGGAGTGGACGACGTGAATAACAACAAGCCTGTCTTTGAGAAGGTAGGAAGAACAATCATGTGCGTGCATCATTAAAGGTGTTTAGTCTTGCTCATTTTCTGCTTGTACTTGCAAAGGTGTTTAATAAATGTCTGCTCTCCTGGTCAACATGCAAAATTTTGATCTTCGTTAACATTTCTTTAACAATTCCAGTCTCGCTCTCTCTTTTTCTTGGCCGGTTTTCTTTTTTCTGACTTGTCTATCGCATGTAGCTCTCTTCCATCACTCCTCTTTATTTCTGTCTTTGTTTTTCTGTCTCCTCTATTCATTAGCCTCTATCTTTCCTCTCTGGAGGAGCGATTAGTGAGCTTGACCCTCGTCTCCGCTCTCTCATCTCTCCCCTACATCATCTTGGTCTTTTAATTAAAGCTTTAAGGGATGTCGGAGAAATCCCGACCGACCAGCTCTAGAAGAGCTACGTCTCCACCTGCTTTTTTCTAGCCATGTCTCAATTTTAAATGAGGTGACTTTTCAAGCTCCCTGAGGTATCACGAGCCAAGATTAGGACCGGGGGCTTGCTGAGTAAACCTTGCTCATTCTCTCATGGGGGAAAGTGAACGGCAAGTGTTTCTCTTTCAGCTGCACTTTCTAGCAGGAAGAAATAGAGGGACAGGCGACAAGATGAGAGCCAAGAGAAAAGAGAGAGGAGTAGAAGAGAGGGACTCCTAGTCCTCGGTATTTCATGTGCTCTGTATGCTCAATTGTCTCTCTCAGGAATCTTCTGCTGGCATCATACTCCAAGTCCATGATTCATTCTTTTCTCTCTGCTGGCGGGAGACTGATTGCAATGGACAAACAATAACCCCCCCCTCACACACACACACACACACACACGCATATGCACACACACGCACGTCTTATCTACGTCAAAAATACAAAACAATGAAAAGACAGACAACTGAAGGTAAACAGAAAACAACAAATCAAACAAATGAAAATGTGTGAATAAAGAAAAACATAATGGTAGATGGAAGCGATAGCACTGGGGAAACAGAGCTATTTATTTGCGTGTCAAATAGTAAAATAAAAGAATAAAAGGAATTTCTGGAACTTAAAAATGCGACAATATTGAGTGTTGGTTTCTCAGTTAGTAGAGATATCCGAGGTTAGTTGCCGTGTCCTCTGTCACCAAAATCCAGTAACAGGACAGTGAAGCAGAAAGGCCCTTTTATTTGTTTTGATGCCCAATCTTATAACATACTGTGGGAACTCATGGCTTGATCAGTGGACCAAGACAGAAGGAACAAGACACACACACACACACACACACACACACACACACAGAGGTAGTGATACAGAGAGGCAAGATCTCTCAGATGTAGCAGGATCCTGCATTCCCCAATAACATAAACTTAACACCACGGACAAACACATTACACATATTTATTAACCTTTAATACCCCTGTCACCTGCTCTCATATGAGCTTCATTGACTTACATTTTTACATTTCTTGTTATGATGTAAAATAAAGAGAGACTGAAGATTTGTATCATGCTGTGTAACTAAAGCTTGGGAGAAACCACAGGACAGTGCATCCCTCAATTGCTTTTGAAAACAAAATACACTGGAACATCATGTACAAAACTACGCATCAAACACACAAACTTTGGTGAGTCTGCTGTATTCGACACTTGTTCTTGCCTAATCCTATCCCTGTGTCCATCCATCCATTCACCCATTCTACTCTGCTTCTGGGCCATGGTGGCAGCAGGCTAAGTATGTGAGCCAAGATGTCCTGCCCACATCCTCCAGCTCCTCCCAAGGTGTTCTCTGCCCACTTTTCACTCCTCGACTGCCTCCCTTTAATGTAAAGGAGCAGCAGTTCTAGGGAAGAACTCAGATGTGCAGCATTAGTACTGGTGTTTCTTCCATAATTTCATTACAGAATTTAATGCTTATGCAATCAGTTACATTCACTCAACCATGCGCAACTAATGGCATCGCCTAGTACCTGCAGTAGCTATATGCTTTGAGATAAGAATACAGAAAGTGGTATTGGATTAGCACTTTTTCATCAGCCGGTACTCTGAGATTAGGTGTGGAATCAGCATAGGCGTAGAAAAAGTTAAAGTGGTTTGTCCCAAAGTCATGAGAAATGCTGATATCATGGCAGACTTACCTACCTATCAGTATCACGTCATCTCATCTTACTCCAATATATTTAAACTTGAGAACAGTACCATGTTGCTGACTGTTATCCCAGCTATTCCGTGCACCTCTTTGTATTAAGATGTTTAACCCCATGTGAAATGTTTGGTCTTCTAACCTGTGGATGGTTTATTTTATATTTACTAACCATTTGTTACACACTGCACTCGCTTTGACCCTTTTGATTGGTTACATCCCTGGATCCAGGCCAGTATATCTTCACCATGCTCTATCCATAATCTAAGCATAAAGCAAAGTGAGAAGCACTGGAAGCAACAACTGTAGAAGCCTCTGGTCCCTACAAATGGAACGGTTTAGAGAGTAGATAAAGCTAAAACATTGTTGCATGATAGGAGAATGGAGGGCAGAGGAGAAGAACTACAAAGACTAAGAAAGGCAAAAAGTGAAGGGAACATGAAAAGATTTTTTTTTCCTTTTTTAAAAAGCTCCCCTGTCATTAATTAGATGTCAAAAAAAGACATCAACCAGCAGTACTGAGGGTTTTTTTTTCCCTTCTTCTATGTCTGTGGCACATGAGCATCAATGCCCCAGTGAGATAGGGAAAAAAAAAAGAAAAATTAAAGAGTTGATCGAGAATAAAAGAAAAAGATGAGAGACCAGAGAGAAATACTAAACTAGATACAGTGGAGATAGTGACTGAACGAGATACAGTAGAGATAGAGACTGAAATAGAACAACAAAGTTCAGTTATTGAGAAAACCTAACAAGGGGCATCTACCTCGCATCACAACGTAACTGAAAATACTGAAGAAGTCTCTATGATGACTCCAAGAATGCATGTGGTGGTAAATGGAGACTAGAGTTGTTGTGTTTTTTGTTTTTTTTAGAACAGAATTGTAACATTTTTACTTTCTGGGTATATACACCAATCAGCCACAACACTGAAATCACAGACAGGTGAAGGGGATCGTCTCATTACAATGGCACCTGTCACAGGGTGAGGTATTTTCAGCAGGAAGTGAACAGTCAGTTCTTAAAGTTGATGTGTCGGGAGCAGGAAAAATGAGCAAGTGTAAGGAGCTGAGTGATTTTTGACAAGGGCCAAGCAGTAGCGGCTCGATGACTCGGTTAAAACATCTCCACAACACCAGTTCGTATGGGGTATGTCTAGTGTGCAGTAGTTAATGCCTACAAAAAGTGGTCCGAGGAAGGGCAACTGGTGAACGAGCTGCCCAAGGCTCACTGATGCATGTGGGCAGCAAAAATTGGCATGTGTGATCTGATCCCTGAGAAGTGCGAGTGTAGCACAAATTGTTAACTTAGTATTCTGACACCTTTCTACCGTAGCTGGCATTACAGTGTAATATAGCTCACTGTGTACAGGGCAGCCACAGACTAATTACAGTTCATGTGCTGAGCCCTGTCAAGTGCCAGAAGTGCCTACAATGGGGATGTGAATTTTAGAGCTGGTCCATGGAGCGATGGAAGAAGGTGGCCGTAACGAATTATGTTTTCTTCTAAATCATTTAGCTAGCCGCGTGTTGGTGCATTGCTTAACTGGGGTAGTGATGACAGCAGAATGCACTATAGGAAGGCACGCTGGCTAGCAGAAGCAATGTGATGCACTGGGTAATGTTCTGCTGGAAAACCTTGGGCCTTGCATTCATGTGGACATTATGTGACAACCCCCCGACGTAAATATGACTGCAGCCCACATACATTCCTTTATTGTAGTAGCTTTCCCTGATGACACTGACCTCTTTCAGGAAGATACTGTTCCCGACCACACTTAAAATTGTTCAGGGATGGTTTAAGAAATATGACAAGGTGTTTGAGGTGTTGACTTGGTCTAGATCTCAATCCCATTGAGCATTTATAGGGGGGGAAACAAACAAACAAACAAACAAAAACAAGTACAAGCTCACATCTTGATGCCAGATACCACAGGTCACCTACAGAGGCCTCATACAATCCATGGTCCGATGTATCAGCGCTGTTTGGGCAGAGTGTGGAAGAGCAACACAATATCAGACAGATGGTTTTATGTAATGACTGATTTGTGTACATCACAATTTACTTGAAAACTAAACAAAACAGAATTCTATTCTATAATCACGGCAGCATATATTATTTGTTGTTCTTTTATTTTCATTTGATTATGCAAATTGTATAGCAAAATGACATTCCTCCAAAAAGTTCACAGTCTTCTGAGATGGAAAAAAACACACCATACTGTGCAGAGTCTGTTCTCCAGCATATCCTCCTACCAGTTTTATCTGCTTGATTATGAGGGAGTGATCACTTTTACCATGCTGACATGAGGTTATTATTGCATTCAAGGGTGTAGAATGAAAAACCTCCATATGCAGTGTTTCATGTTTGTTTGTTTTGTGTGTGTGTGTGTCTTCGGGCAAGGAAGCATTGTTCTTGAATCTTTTAATTGCTATGCACCACACAATTGTTAGGAAGCACCAGCTCCCTGCCTGAGTACATTTTGCGTAGAAAGGCGGACATAAATCACACACCATTTTGTTTTTTGCTTACTTTAATTATACGAATCCAGCGACTACAGACAAAATTGTACTCCTTAACGTTACATTTATTTCTTTGATTAAAACAACACATTAAAAGAACATTTAGTTATAAAGGTTAGCATCTGTCGAACCTTTGTGGGAGCCAACTTGTGGTGGAGCTTTAAAGGGAGGCAAGCAGCTTTTTTTCATGTGATATAAGATGAGGTGGGGTCTCAAGTTTAATTTTCAATAGATGGTGATAAAGTTTAAAGTGATGAAGATACTTTTTTTTCTTTTTTCTCTTTTATAGGATCATAGATGTTTTATTCAATTTGAATGTTCAGTTTTGATCTCTGATTGTGTATCTATAAATTAAGGCATTGTGGTTGGAAGAATCTTATAGAAACCTTGTGTAGATGCCTTTAATTGTATCAGCTCCCTTTTAGAGCTCTGATCTGATTGGCTAGTTTGAATTAGGAAGGTAGGCCCCCTGCTCTATATGTACTGGACTATTGAGAGAAACGTGGGGGAGTGATGTGCACTGAATGCAGCACTGTACTAACTGATATTGCTTTAGTGTTGGAAGTAATTGAAAGTTGTTTTTTTTTCCTCTAAGTTTTTCACTGTTGTTCTTTGGTTTTTCATTTTGGAGGCTGCCAGTTGTATCGAGACTGCAAATAAACAGTTTCCTATTTTTTCCAGCACATTTTTTTTTTTTTTTGGTAGAGTAATGTTTTGTCCTCTGCATGCCTCGCTATGCTACCTTCACCTCCCCTTGCAACAACCATGATAACATTTCGAGGTGGGACTTTAGCTGTTTTTTTTTTTATCTAGGACTGCTGCCATGGTTGGCAGGGGTTACAAGGTTCAGAGGAAGAGTCTTTGTTTCAGCATATATTGCAATCTATAATAACTGAGCTCACAGGCACACACAACTGTACTGTCACAACAATTTACTTTTTTAAATCAGACTAAATTTTTGCTTGTTTGATGCATGTGTTTCTAATTCATATTAGATCGTTTTGTAGCATGTCACTCAAGATTTGCCTTTTTAAAGTACAACTGTGCGATTTCCTGGTCCACTGCTGAAAGCTCTCAGCGCCAAGCACACACACTGAGCACCAAAACCATAACGCAGCCACACGTAGCCACAGTGAACACATCACCAAGCAACTTTTGAACACTTGCACTATAGGTGCTGTGACAGGTTCAAAGACCCCTGAATCCATTACTAGCACTTTGTAGAGCTAAAAAAAAAAAAGAGTAGAAAATAACATGACGCAAGCTTCTCATTCTTTTCTATAAGGACAAATGTTCACTAGTTTTCAAGTTAGACTATTTGTCTCACTAGTAAATGATTCTTATGGTGATCTTTGATCTGTCCTTTCAACATAAATAACATTCCACCTCCCACACACTTGTGCTTACTGTTTCAATAGAATGGAGTATTGATCTAATTGTCTCCATACTTACACTGCTGTGGTCTTCTCTTCCTCCCATCTGTCCTCTTTGCTGCTTGCATTCTCTTTAGTGTCAGCAATACCGAGAGAGCACATCAGTCCTGGAGAACCAGCCAGCGGGGACGTTTGTTCTGCAAGTGCATGCTGTGGATGCTGACGAGGGCTCCAATGGCAGAGTCACATATGGCTTCATGCACAAAGACTCCACTGTGCCCGCATTCAGTATACACCCAGATACTGGTACTGAAACACTCAAAATGTCACTTTTACAAACATACACAAGTACACATACTTTTTTTTTTCCTTGTGGAGATTCTGAGACAGGCCTAATTCCATTCAGCCTAACTGAAAAGCTTGGTACAATGCAACAAGGCATGTGGTGTGACTGCAAGTTTACAAGTTTGTGTAAACTTAAATATAAGATGTTCTTTATTTTAATTGCCAGATAGTTGAAGTTGTACAATAATTGTCATTTTGTGGCGATACGTGTGGTAAATACTAAATGTCTGGTTTGATCACCTTTGACTCGCCTTCAAACAACAGAAACTCAACATAATTTTGTTCCTCTTTATATAAACTGCAGCAGAGTACTTGTGCATTTTAAATGTAAAGTCAATGTGTAATATGTGAGGTGAAAAACTCTGACAAAGTACCATACAACATACCTGTCAATTCAGTTAGTAAGTATTTTTAGTGGAGCAGGAACTATTGTAAAAGCCATCACCAAAAACTTATCCTCCTTGAATTTGATAACTACCTTTAAGAAACTCTCATGTTGCTCCCTATTCTGCTCTTCATCTGCTTTACCGTGTTTAAAGTTTAGCTTCAAGGCAAGAAGAGACATCATTTCACTGTTAAATTGCAAAATACTCTAGGGACAGCAGACGCAGCATGTTTGGTATGATTCGGCTGTTTGATCAAACTTCTTATCTCGGTCTGTCTAGGAGTAATTGTGACAGCCAGGAAATTTGATCGTGAACGCCAGCGGGAGTACGCGGTGACCGTGACCGCCACTGACCAGGCAGCTGACCCACTGATTGGCATTTGTCAGCTCAACATCCTCATCTTGGACCAGAATGACAACAATCCCAAGTTTGAAAACATCCGATATGAGTGTAAGTAGATACATAAATTCATATGTAAGTGTTCTGACTAAAAGCTAGTGTATTACAAAAGAGAAAAAAGAAAACATGCAGATACAGAAAATAGGCCCACTATGTTAACAAAAACTGTTGTAGATAAAAATGATCAAACACTGTGACGTCAGTCCAATATTCCAGGACACTATACCTAATGTTAAACTGATTACTAATGTGTTAACCTTTTAATGAATTTGTAATTGTAACAAAGTGTGATTTTGTTGCGCATGACTTGAAGTGTGTTGTGTTTTCTGTATTTGGCTGTTTTCGGTGCATATGCTGTATGTCGTCAACTCTATGAATGTGTTTCTTTATTAGCTTGTGCTCTGTTTGTTTGCAGCAGTTTTGCTAAATGTGACACATGGTGGGCAAATTGGCGTAGATACCTCTTAATTAGCTTTTGTTTTTCAGAAGTTACAGTACAGCGAGCTCACTTGCCCACTGTGCCGTATAAAAACTGCAAATGAAGGCCTCACAGAGCCACTGAAGTGTAAAGCACACTGCTTTTTTCTGCTCCCATAGACTTCCTTCGTGAGGATACCATGATTGGAACTAGTTTCTTGCGTGTAGCAGCTCATGATGACGACTTTGGCACCAATGCAGCCATCACGTACTCCATGTCCAGTGAACAGCCGGAGTACCTGAGGGTCAACCCGCTGACAGGATGGGTGTACGTCAACCAGCCCATCTCACAGGTACACACAAGCTGTATGCAAATGGAGAATGAGAAACCACATTAGGCACATTTTCCACTTGCTATTTAAAAAGCCTCTACCATAGAAAATATATGAATAACCTGCATAATCCTTCTTATTTTTGGATTTTTGTACAAAGATGATTGGATGTTCTTAGAGCTAATCAGGCTTATAAGCTTCACTGGCACAAAAGCTATTCAAGAAAATTGTGTAATTTCATAATTCCACTCAAGAACTCATGGCAGGTTAGCAGTGAACTTCAGATTGCAACTAAACAGCATGCAGCCTCTTACAGTATATGAGCAGAAGAACAAGTACCATATATTTGCATCCAGTTGCCACCAGTGAAAGGGCAGAAGTCCAGCAGCCAGTCACAGGCTTACCTTTTTCTTTGTCTGAAGGAGAAGGTTCCCTCACTTCACTGCTTCTAAGCTCATGCTTCACTAACAGGAGACAAATAATCTTGTTGTGGGCATGAACAAGCAATTGACAAAATTGCCACGTAGTGTGTGCAAAACAAGTCTGCAGCTCAGATGAGTACCATCGTGATAAAAGCCCAAAAATCAGCAACGTACCATCTTCCAGAGCCAAGAGGAAAGCGTGTTTGTATCCTCGGCACTTTCAATCTTGTACTAACACCACCTGGCTCCATGCCAGCATTTTTGACTGAGATAATTGTTTACTAGAACATATCTATGTTTGAAGATACCAACTTTTTCCACTAATGAGTACAACTGCATAAAATGTAGTACACAAGCAGGCACTGCTACTCATTTGCTTCAGCCTTTGCCAATGTGACAGTCCCGATGTATGAAATGCTATGAGCAAAGAACATTTTTTCAACACAAAAAATCTCAGCTGTGTTAAAAAAACAACTTTGTGAAAAGCTTTTCTACCATGTATGAATTTAAAACACCTTTGAAGGGGCAGAATATATTGTCCATAACCTGGGGTGTAAAGCAAAAGACCCTGAACGAAATCAGAAAAAGGGCAACTTCAGATTGTTCTGTCTTTACTTCCTTCTTTTCCAGCACATCTAAGTTAACCCACACTTGAAGTGCAGACAGTTCAGTTTTTGTGTTTTTTTTTTCCACTAGGACAGATCATTTCCCCAGATTGCAGTGGATAAACCCAATCGCTCTTGTAAGGGTTACAAAACTCTGCCACTCCAGCGTGAGCCATGCCCTTCAATCAATACACTTACCTTTAAGTATGTTGTGTTTATCCGGATGCAGTCTACAGTCAATTTCTTCCTGCACAGAAGTGCAGAAGATTGATTGTTTGCTCAAATTTGTACGATCTAGATCCACAATGTCCGTCAGTCTTTAAGGAAGCTACAATTACCACTGTCACACAAATTGCCATGGTAAGAACACGCAATCATGCGGTCTTTTCTATTTGACATTATGCTACAGAGGACCTACATCACCAGGGAAATTGCGGCAACAGACGGGGGCAACAGGAGCAGTTCGGTGGAGCTGGCAGTCACCATCACGAATGTAAAGAACCAGCCTCCACAGTGGGAAAAGGACAGCTACAGCGTGATCATACCAGAGAACACAGTCCGAGACACGCCCATTGTGGTATGTTGGTCGAGGGGGGTGGTAGTTGGTGCACAGAGGGGGCAACACATATGGGTGCATTTGTAGCACATAAGAATAATATTCAGCCATTCCAATGTGTAAAAATAGGCAGGACATGTTTATTCAAATATCACTTTTGAGCCAAAGGAAGACATTTCAGCAAAGTTTTTAATTACAATAAAACTAAAGTGTTGAGTTAGCAGCTGGAAAATCTGTACTTCTAACATTTTGGCAACAACTTGCAAATAAATAGTCTCGATGTTTTTAAGTTTTCTAATTATTACAATGTGAACATTTTTAGCAGTAGGTAGATCACTACAGAGGCAACATTTTTATTTTTTTGGAAAAACAAACAAAACAATACAAAACAAGAAACAATTAGATAAACTTAGAGTTAGATTTATTTATTTATTTAGGTTTGTATTAATTCAGAAAATTGTGTGCAAAAAATATTTTTCAACAGTAATATGAATATGGAATAGGAGAAATTGTTAACAAATAAATATGCCAACAAAAACAAACAAACAACTTCTTATAAATGTAATATTAGATTTAGATTAAATTAGCATGAACAACATTTTTAGACATTGTGGCACCAAGATAAAACACATACTATGGTACTGCAAAACTCACAGCTCATTTCTGGCCAGAGATGCTTGTTGCATGTTAATCCCTTATGTTGTCCCTTATCTCTAACCCCTTGCTTCCAAACATGTCTTAAGGGAGGACTAGCAGTCTGCTTTGTGTAGTTTCTTATCACAGCTTTGGTGTTTTTTTCTTAGAAAGTTCAGACAACCCTAATCAATGGTGAGAACAAAAACAATGTAACAAGTCTGTGCTATGGCAAGAGATCTACAAGTTCAGGAACCACAGCGGCAGAAAAATGCAGACATCCATAAACACCCTCGAATCCACCGATTCACTGCTTGTGTGGTTCATATGTATCTTGTTAACTGCACTTCAGTATTCATAAGCATTGCCTTTTCATGTCACTGACACATTTTCAACTAATCAACAGTCATTTCGAAGGCTCTCTTCAAAGCAATTAAGTCCATTAAAGTCACAGATGAATATTGCAACTCAAAGGATGGAAATCAAAAGACAGAGGAGAGTATTTTATATTGGAATGTGAGTGTTTGTGAGAGATGTTGATAAAGGAAGGGAAAAGGAGCACGGTCCCTATTGTACAGTGTATTAATTGCGATGGCAGCTCGCTGTTGATTTGGCTGTTGTACAAAGATGCAGCGGCTCTCAGTGGGTTGTAATATCTCTGAACATGCAGCAGTCAGACATGTTTGCCAGTTCAGCATGCCTCACAGGGTGCCTCATTATTGTAGCTGCTATGCTTTGTGGGTTGAATGGATACAGCTAGGTCACCATAGGTAAGCCACGTCACGCCCAAGATGGCACTTTTGATTTTAATTGGGGTGTATATGGCATCAACTTCCAATAGTCTCTCTATAATTAGTTTAGGGAGAATGCAGAATGAAGAGCAGAGTGTATTTCCCTTTGATCCCACAGGATTTCAGTCAGTTATTGTCTGGTCCAACAGTTTCAGACTTTCAAATATTTTAGTGTTCATTATTATGGACTATGAAATACGTTTCCATTTGGGTAGATCATTTCTCACTACTTGGAATGCTCACTTCGATTGAAGCTCAGCAGCAGCTGTCTACATTTTCATTTCTGTCCTGAGGGTCACTGCTGGCATGTAGAATTTTTCCTGTCTCAAAACTGGTAATTAGATGCACATGGAAATTCTGTGCAACACACATTACGACCACTTTTTAAGATTTTGTTCTGTTGGTCATCTCCTAACTTCGATCATAAAGTGATCATGGCTGATTTCCAAAAGGGCACTGCACCGTGCTAACCAACAGCACAGTTCGTCTGCGTTTTGTTTGTTTGTTTTCTATGTAGTCGTTTCTACAAATCATTGGCAGACGTATTCATAGTCAATGTACTGATTCATTATTATTATTGAGTGTATGGAGTTAGTCCTGTTGCTTTGTTTGCTGTTATTGTTCAGACATCCACGACAGCAGAGGCAGCTACGCAGCTCCTTGTGAAGTGATTGGAATCAGTCCAATGCAAACGTCTCTCTGAAGAATCCAAGGACATTTTCTATATGATGGACACAAAGTGCAGAAAACAAAGGAAAGGAAGGGTGTGACAAAAGCTTAGAGGGAGGAAAATGTTTTGCCCTCAAACAATATATAAAATTCATCCATGCTTTAACCAGACTGATTGTAAAGTCTGTCCAGGTGGATTCACCATCAAATGCATGAACTGATGATCAGCGCCTCTATGTTCTCTTTATGTTCCCACACATATGTCTCACCCTTGTTTGAATCAATCCAAAAACAAATGTTGCTAAAGCAGTAGATATTAGTTTTGATATTATTTAAGAGTTATCGAAAGTTTCCCAGACGTATCTACGTTTAAATTGGGTGATTTTAGTAAATGTACTCTCAGATGTACACCCATTCTCAGTATGTCACCTGGAAGACAAAATAAAACCACTGACCAGCCATGTGCCATTTCATCGACAGGGTGCAGTGTACCTGACTGAGGGTAATGCTATAGGGCCGCACCCTGATGAGAGGATGAGCGGGTGTGCCTCTCTTTCCAATAAGCTGAATGAACTTCTTACCGACTGTGAGACACAGGATGGTGACAACATTTCTGTTTCACAAGACACGGACGATGCTAGGATGGAAAACGCACACGACACTCTCATCACTGAGGAGGAGGTTTTTCAAAGCACTAACACATGAAAGAGCTCAGGGCCCGATACCATCGATGGCAGGGTGAAACACTGCTCAGCTCATCTGAGTGGAATTTTCTGCTCCCGTATTTGACGCTCTCTAGATACTCTGGTGGTCCTGTCAGTGTGGAAAACATCAATCATGGTCCCCCTCCCCAAAGTCCCTCATCCATCCTCTCCTAATGACTGCAGGCCCATTTGCCATTCTGATTTCAGGTGATGTAAGCAGGTCCTGGATCCTCTACAGCCTGCTTTTGGCAAGAGGGACAGATGATGCCATTGTAACACTTTGAAACTTTCTGTGTATGCACCTGGAGGGTAGTGAAACATTCACGAGTCCTCGATTTAGATTTCTCCTCTGCGCCCACTAATCCTGCCTGACAGACTGAAGCAGCACTTTTAACTGAACTTAAAACTAATCACATGGATTTTGAATTTTATGTGAAGGGACATTTCATCTGTACTGGCAAACCACAGGGCACTATACTGTCATCTTTACAGTTTATTTAAGACACTGCCTTTTGTCATGGCAGATGACCTGGACAGCATATAAAGGTGTATAATAAGGATGTGACTAAACATGGTCCAGTTTCGAATGGTTCTGTGAACTGATGTGAGGCCTCACATTTGATTCTGAACATGTGAAATACCAAAGAACTGATTTTTGACTGTAAATATGATGCTTCACCATCAACTATCTGTATAGGTTAGATGAGATAGAACTGAGGTGGTGACAGAGAAATATCTTGGTCTTATTAGAGATCACAAATTATCCTGTTGGGGTGTTTCTGTAAACACATAGCCGGGGTGGCTGTGCTGGGTCAGAATTGTGGGTTGTTTAGGGAATTGTGGACACAGTGTTGGTTTGTTCATGCCGGGTCAAAGGTGTTGTTAGGGGTTCATTTGCAACTGAGCAGCTTGTTGGGTTTCTCTGACCCAGCTGCTGGTTTGTTTGTTTCCTTAGTTGGACCTTCAAGATGTTTCTCTTGTGGTCAGAGGTTTGCACAACAGTGGGTGGGATTGTGTGTTAGGTTAACATGAATAGGCTACTGTGTTTTAAATAAGTTGTGGTAATAGCAATATTTTAGATTCATTCTACTGTAAAATCTTATCTGTGATCATAATAGTAGGGTTAGTGGTTTTTATCCTTTAGCCTTTAGAATTTTTCTAAGTAGCTAGTATTTTTTTACTTGATGCTTGCTAGCTAACTTTAATAGTTGGTGTAATTTTATCTAATAACCACTGTAATTGTAGCTTTAAAAAAAAATAAATAAATAAAAAAAAAAGATTATATGTGGTGGTATCCTGTTATTGTTCACCTGACACTAGCTTTTCCATTGCAGATTTTTAATTTTAGCATTATCAGGTAACATTAGTGAGCTAACATATTGCTAGCTAGCTAACATTATGTTAACATAACATTGCCTAGCGTTATTGTTAGCTATCTAATGATAAATACTTGTATGTAGTAATCTTTTGTGGAATAATGTTATAAAGGTGTGTGGGGAAGGCATTTGCGCTGATCACTAAAAGATATTTTGGTGAAGAGAGAAACAACAAGTACAAGAAATTTAAAAGCATGTGAATGTGAAGTGTGACTATTTGAAAATACTGTAGGCTATATCCATGGATGATGCTGAATTATGACAGGCGAGCTTCAAAACTGGTAGCTAACATGAAAACAAACAATCAAACAAACAAATCCTTGTTAAAAACTGCACAGTTTTGTGAAATTTCATCCAATGCCTGAGTTTGGGACTGATGCTGGTGGGCAGTTTTGTGTGAGGAGAATTAACTGAATGATAGATGAAAAAGATTCACTGCCCACGCGCTGCTTTCACAGTTTACAAATGAAATCTTTTTTATCATTCTTGGGAGACTGATCATTATTTTTTTAGTTCATGTAACCCTAATTAAGCAATCTGATATCTGAAATGAAGTATTTCTCTGATTGAGTCAGTTCCAGTAGGAAGTCTACTGTTGCTTTTTAAAAGATGATTTATACCTTAATGGTAAAGGTATTTTTACTATTTTTTTCTTAAACTGACTCATTTCACTATGAGGTGCACTGATTAAAAATGCACTTTGTGTTTATTGTAGAATCATACTGTTGTTATTATAGCCCAAAGTCCTACATTTTCACTTGACTTACAGGACTATTTGCCTTCATGCAGAGTAACACATATAAAATTACCATAATAACAATAATAATAATAATTTTTTATTATTGTTGCACAAGAAAGGCTATGAATATTTACTCTGAAAGAGAGTTCCATTTACTCACTACATTAGGTTTAATAGCACCAGTAAAACCAGTCCAGCATGGTTATGTCTCATAGTTACTCATGGTAGAGTTAACATTGGGTCATTTTTTCACCAAGACGTTTTTTAACTGTGGGATCAATGTGCAGACACTATTTGTAAAAACAAACAAACAAACAAAAAAACACCAACAGGCCCTGTACATTCTTAGAAACTGAACTTAAAAAAAAAAAAAAAAAAAAGACAACAAAATGCCTTCTCACTACTTGTTTATTTTTAATGTTTTTTTTCTGGTGGATATATTTTGTTATTGGATTGTATACATATATAGACATCCCTAAATCATTCTGAATGAATGAATGAATGAGTGAGTGAATGAATGAAATAAAATGATCTGTAGAAGAGAAGTTGGGGTTAACTCAGCTAAACTAAACGTGGTAGCCATGATAAGTCAAGGGTCATACAAGAATCACAGGATGTGGGATACAATGGGCTAGTAGATGAGTGAGTATGGATACACTCGGGGCGTTCAGTATTTATTTATTTTATAATACTTACTGGTTTACAGTTATCAACGTGCTTTATGAAGAAACATTTTAGCTGTGATGCTATTTGTGATAGCTTCTATAGATTTGGATTAGATTTGATTGTTGTTCATTGTTTGCATTCTGGCTGTTATTTATTTTTTTTTTATTTATTTATTTAAAATGACGCCTTCATGTAGAGATGAAGAATTACCCATGCATTCATGAACACAGAAAAAAATCTATCTTTTGAGCTTTGATGGACTGTTAATCCTTATATAAAACAACAAATGAACAACTTATAAGAAATCAGTGTTACCTTACATAATGGGAACTACAGTAAATAACAATGAAATGATTTATGGCCACAATGATTTTTCCCTGGAAACAGTGGAACATACTAGAAGTCCCACAGTGGAATGCAGACTAAAATTACTGAGGTGTCCTATGGTGTAAAAGTTTTATCTTCACTGTTTCCTCTGTTGTCTCTGTTCACAAAAGACCATCAAAGCCACATCACCTCTTGGAGATCCCAGAGTAACCTACAACTTGGAGGACGGTATGGTCCCAGAGACCAACATGCCAGTTCGCTTCTACTTGACCCCCAACCGAGAAGATGGTTCAGCTTCCATCCTGGTTGCAGAGCCTTTGGACTATGAGACCACCAGGAATTTCATGCTACGGGTTCGGGCTCAGAATGTTGCTGCTGTACCACTGGCTGCCTTCACCACCGTCTACATCAATGTCACTGGTGAGCTTTTTTTTTTGTAAATCTTCTCCATGAAGTTTTATTTAATTTGTTTTACCTTTCTCAAAATGTCATGTTTCCATTTTTCCATTGTCTTTTATATTGCTACCTTTTTGTCCTTGTGTAATAGCTTGTGTAATTTGCATGCATTGCCTTTTCTATCACTTAGTTCTTTGGCATGATTGCTTTACTTGTATTATAGCTGGCTAATGAACACAATTATGTATTGTAGTTAAAAAGAAATGAGTGTCACAGTGTTATAAAGATACAGAAAAATCATACCAAAACACAAAATGTTTGGGTATCGACAGAGACCCTGTGAGGGGAAAGGGGTATGTATGTATGTTGTTATTGCAGACAGCAAAGTGGTCTGTCAACAAAACAAAAAACACACAAAAAAACAACCCCAAAAACGCCCACTTTTAGTATTTAGTAAAAAGTTTGTGTGTGTGCTTGTGCTTATTTCCCATTATTTAACACTGACAAAAAAGAATGAAGTGGGGAGTGATGAACAGAACGTTCAGTCATATTGTAGTGCTCCCTGAGACTCATTGCAGTTACATTTTCTATTGGATTTGTTCAAAACCTGGATTCCAAATCTACACAAATCATAATTATTTGCAGAACTTGCCAACTGTTGCGAGTGCTAGCCTAAGAGTGTAACATACACTCACCGGCCACGTTATTAGGTACACCTTGCTCTTGCTAGTACCAGGTTGGACCCCCTTTTGCCTTCAGAACTGCCTTCATCCTTCGTGGCATAGATTCAACAAGGTACTGGAAACATTCCTCAGAGATTTTGCTCCATATTGACATGGTAGCAACACGCAGTTGCTGCAGATTTGTCGGCTGCACATCCATGATGCGAATCTCCCGTTCCACCACATCCCAAAGGTGCTCTATTGGATTGAGATCTGGTGACTGTGGAGGCCGTTGGAGTACAGTGAACTCATTGTCATGTTCAAGAAACCAGTATGAGATGATTCGCACTTTATGACATGGTGCGTTATCCTGCTGGAAGTAGTCATCAGAAGATGGATACACTGTGGTCATAAAGGGATGGACATGGTCAGCAACAATACTCAGGTAGGCTGTGGCATTGACACGATGCTCAATTGGTACTAAGGGGCCCAAAGTGTGCCAAGAAAATATCCACCACACCATTACACCACCACCACCAGCCTGAACCGCTGACACAAGGCAGGATGGATCCATGCTTTCATGTTGGTGACGCCAAATTCTGACCCTACCGTCCGAATGTCGCAGCAGAAATCGAGACTCATCAGACCAGGCAACGTTTTTCCAATCTTCTATTGTCCAAATTTGGGGAGCCTGCGCGAATTGTAGCCTCAGTTTCCTGTTCTAAGCTGACAGGTGTGGCACCCGGTGTGGTCTTCTGCTGCTGTAGCCCATCCGCCTCAAGGTTCGACGTGTTGTGCGTTCAGAGATGCTATTCTGCATACCTCGGTTGTAACGAGTGGTTATTTGAGTTACTGTTGCCTTTCTATCAGCTCGAACCAGTGTGGCCAGTCTCCTCTGACCTCTGGCATCAACAAGACATTTGCGCCCGCTCACTGGATATTTTCTCTTTTTTGGACCATTCTCTGTAAACCCTAGAGATGGTTGTGCATGAAAATCCCAGTAGATCAGCAGTTTCTGAAATATGCCCATCTGGCACCAACAACCATGCCACGTTCAAAGTCACTTAAATGACCTTTCTTCCCCATTCTGATGCTCAGTTTGAAATGCAGCAGATAATCTTGACCATGTCTACATGCCTAAATGCATGGAGTTGCTGCCATGTGATTGGCTGATTAGAAATTTGTGTTAACGAACAGTTGGACAGGTGTACCTAATAAAGTGGCCGGTGAGTGTCTACTGTAGTCTTAACCCCAGTGTCCCATTTCTGCTACAAAGAAATTTCAGTCAGTTGTATCTCTTCTTTGCCTGAGAATATCAGTTGTCACCTATATATCATTCATTATGCTTGTCATTATTTATTCTAAATTTGATTGCTTTTCCTGTTTCAGTTAATGCTATGTACTTCCCTTTCCTAAGTCACTGCTTAATATGGTGGTGTTTGTTAGCCCCTGATCTTGCTCCTTTCCTAAATGACTGCTCTGCATGTAATTCCACTGCAACAGGCGCGCATGCACTCACACCCCAATCCATCAAATTCGTCCTAATCCAGTGAGAAATAATTAATTCTCACAGACCCTCTCTTGCCTCTCCGTCCCTCTTCTAGCATTCCTTCTCCTCTGTTCACTCACCCCTCCTATCCCTTATCTGTCTTAATAAGAAAGCTCTTTGACTTCTCCAGAGGCAGTGAGGCTAAGGGAGGGAGGGAGGTCTGTAATGGATTTAAGGCCCCATTTTTAATTCATAGATTAAGACATTTGCTCCGAAGAAAGGGGAGAAAAAAAAGGCACAGAGAGCAGCATTGAGATTTAATGTGTTGCTCTTTCAAAGTAATTCCTGTTCTGCTTTTGGCCTTAGAATTTGACTTTTGCTATTCAGGAAAACTTAAGAGTTCATGTCCTATATCACTAGTACTTCGTACTACCTGCTTCCTCTATCTGTAGTATCTAACAGTCTTTCTTCTCTTTTCTTGTTATGGTTGAAGTAGCTGATGAAAAAAAAAGAACATTTTGTGTTAATTATGGACTGGCATAATGCCTGGTTTGATCCTCATCCTGATGCCAATAGGACTCGGAAAAAAGAACCACAAACCTGAAAATATAATTATTTCATAAGTTGTCAGAGCCACAGTAAGTAACTGGATGAACATGAATGGGCTGGCAGGTGAGATACAGGTCATAACACTGATCCCTCATGTTACCATTTCCAAGATTTTAAATCAGTAATTTTTGGCACAAAAGCTACAAACACACTGCTAAACAAGCTGAATGAAACATGCATGAACTGTTTTTATGTCACTTCCAACAGCTAGAGCCTTATATTATATTTATCGTGAGGAATAACTGCAGGCTCTCTTCTTGATGAAAGTCCAAAATCAACAGTCCAAGACATTACATGGCAACATCATAAAGAGAACTGAAGCTGCACTGAGGGCAAATGGTGCATCAACAATATAGGGCTGTGATATTTATTGCCACATGTATTTTGTTGAATTAAGAATCTTGTTAAATTTATAGACAAAGTTCAATGTCACCTTTAGGAAAGTTTCAGTAAAAAAAGAAATGAATTGATTATGCATAAACAGCACAGGGTATTAGGTACTTTAGATATTTAATTAAATATCACACATTACCATCACAAATATACAGCCAGGGCGCAGAGTCATTATGAGTAATCTTCTGTGAAATGAAGAAAAAAGGAGCCCAGTAACAGATGGAATGGTCCCCACACAGCTCTGATTTCAGAATCACAGAGTCAATGTGGAATTGCATGAAAAAAAGGCAGAGACAGCCTATATTCACAGAAGAACTCCAGGAAGTTCTCCAACATGTGTGGGTCCACCTACCTGCCAAGTACCTTGATAAACAGTGCACAAGTGTGGCAAGGAAAATTGGTGATGTTTCAACGCAGAGTCACACCAAATATTCATAGATGTGTCTTTTTACTACATTTTGTACGAAGCGGAGCTTTACTTTTGAAAGCATCCTTACTTCAGTTGTAGTGCCTAAAATGTTTGCACAGTGCTTTAACATAGCTGATGAAGTTAAAGTTCCAAACCACACAGCAGTAAAACATTGCAAAGGAGCGCGTTGGTGGGGCTACATTCCCTCAAGGACCAGAGACAAATATGCTACATTAAGTTGAGTTTGAGTAACAGATCAAACTGCACTGCATTCATTTAAAATACTCTGATGTGAGATTTTGCAACTCGTTTTTATGTTTTTAGGAAATCTAGAAATGAACACTTTCACATATTTGATTAGCTCCAAGCGCCTTTACTGGATGATGCTTTATAGCTCCCTTTTGTTTAGAGCTCGACTGCAGTTAGAAAAAAAAAAATGTTTTAAAAAAAACCAAACCCCCCCCCCCAAAAAAAAACAACAGTTGTAAACCATTTAGGTTAGATGAAAATGCATGCACACAATAAGAAGTACAGTCGTGACTTCATAATCCAACATTTAGCAATCCAAAAACCTTGCTATCCGACAGGTTTTTTTGAAAAACAAATGGAACCCATACAAAATAGCCTTCACATACCGACAGCCTTGGATTCTGACTCCGACATGACATTTTATGTCACAAGTAAGGACAACAGTGTATTATCTGACTTAACAATCCGACAGATTTACTTCCCTTTGATGTCAACCAATGGGCCCGTGCACAAGTGCAGCGGTCAGTTAGGCATGAAATCCAGTGATGTGTAGTGTTCTAACAATACACTAGTCCCACTCATAGAGTGAGTTTGCCCAGTTAATTAAATTGGTTTGCATCGGTTTGTTAGTAAAAAACTCCACATGTGTGGAACACAGGAAGGATAGGTTTGGTGCTTTGAAGTTCTTTGAAGAATTAAACAATGTGACATGTTATGAGACCTGAAAAATTCTATGAACCTATAAACACTGTGGTTGTATCAGGCTTATCAATCATAGAAACAAAGTGCTTCAATACTGTTACACACCAGACATCAAACGTAAAATTGCATCTACCAAGTTTTCAAGAAGTCACAGACCAAGTCTTGCACTGGCCTGGAGCCACTGATGTAGTTCATGACGATTCTTTTATTATGTTTCATATAAATCATAACAATCTCATATAAGTAGATAGTTTATTATAACAACTATAAATGATAAATATTAACAACAAATGACCCTTCAAGCATCAAGCCCTCCTTGTATCTCGACCTCCGTCTTGACAATCTGACAGCCTTGCTATCTGACATAAAAGAAGATTTTACATTTAGTGTCCGATTATCAAGTCATGACTGTAATTCATTTAAAGAAACAGAAGTAAACATATTAAACAAAATTAAACATTTCTTCAAGGCTGCTGAGGCCCTATAATAATAATTGCCAAAATACGATGCCAGGTGAAAAGCAGTAACTCTTACATGATTTTAGCAAACTGGCAAATGTGGCTATGCTTTATTGAATGGGAATCCACAGTCTTTGAGTGTTGTCAAAGGTTATGACATGAATTTTGTGATATTTATATGGAGAATGTAAAAATTAGGGGAAACACTTTTCTTGCAAGATGGGACCATGGAAGAGTTATGGTATGGCATGCCTGTCTATGTCCTTCTATATGTGGAAGTCATTTGGTTTATATTGTTGACTTTTTTTCTCATAACCAGTCCCAAAAAGTAATTAACATTCATCAATCTAAAACAATTTAATAAAACTTACTGTTTAAATTCCTTTGTTTTAAAACAGTATGGAGATTGACTTGTTGAAGATTATCAGCCAGTGCAGGCTAGCTCATGCCATGTAAAGAACTCAAAGGTTTATATGACATTCCTATCAAATTCACAAGATATCCATCCATCCATCATCTTTACACTGTTTAATCCTCACTAGGGTTGTGGGGGGGCTGGAGTCTATCCCAGCTGACTTAAGGCTAGGCAGGGGACACCCTGGACAGGTCACCAGTCTATCACAGGGCTACACTTAGAGACAGACAACCAAGCACACTCACATTCACACCTATGGACAATTTAGAATCACCAATTAACCTCAACATGTTTTGGACCTTGTTGTCCTCACCGGGATGCGAACCAGTGATCTCCTTGCTGCGAGGCAATGGTGCTAACCCCTGAGCCTCAAACTAACAAGACATTAACTGAAAAACATAAAAAAATAAATAAATCTTTGGTATGAACTGATCAGTCTGTCTTCCTATCCCCTTCCTTTTCTAGATGTAAACGACAACGTGCCATTTTTTACTTCCTCCATCTACGAGGCCTCGGTCACTGAAGGAGCAGAATCAGGAACTTTGGTTTTCCAGGTTTCAGCCAATGACCTTGATTTGGGTCTAAATGGCAAGGTGAGAACTAATTTACACATGCACACTTTAACACACTAATTATTATAAATGTGATAATGTTGCTCTTACACTCTGGCCAGTTGAAGGCATTGTTTAGAATCCAGTTTCTTTTGCATATTTGCACACTATTATGTCCTGTCTACCTCTTTTTTTTAAATTATCCCAAATGTCTTCTTTCTCACTGTGTAAATTTGCAGTAATTATCTGAGTGTTAGCATCTGGCCCTCTGAATAACTGGGTCTGCTTCAACCCTCCACCTTCCAGATCGCTTACTCACTGCTGGAGGATCGCAGTGGGGACCATCAGTATTTCCGTATTGACCCAGAGCTGGGCTTCATCTACACACAGGCTGTGTTTGACCGAGAGACCAAAAGCTCCTACCTGTTGGAGGTTCAGTCTGTGGATGGCTGGGAGTCAGCGCGGCCCGGCAAGCACGGACAGCCCAACTCTGGTAAATTAGACTCAAGCAACACAGAATATCCTGTAACTGACTGTAACTTACAGTGGTGCCTTTTCAGTATCGTCATGTGTTGTGCCTGAGTGCTGAGACCAGCATTTGTAAAAGTTTATCTTGCGAGGCAGTGTGATACTCGCGAGATTTGCAAGAGCATGATCACCGAACAGTCCATCTTGCCAGACTTCAAGCTGCTTGTGGCAGATCCACAGTTGCCCGGACCAGTGAGTGTATATGACAAACTACCGCCAGCTATGGAGGTGTTTTAGGTGTGAACTTGCCCTTGATAGGCGGTGATAGACAGAAGGTTCATCCAATCACCTGCCAAGTACTTCTTTTTTTTTTTTTTTTTAAGTGTCTGAACTTTTCCAGATTGTTTCCAAGGACAACTTCTCAGATGGTTCCGTGTAACAAACTATCAGATGTGTCAGGTTACTGGAAGCTGCTGTGTAATACCTAGTTTGAATTGCATTTTAGCAGTCAGTGATAAAGAGTAGATGCAGCACTTAGAAGGGAAGTACTGAATATTCAAATTAGCCCCACACATTTTCCCCTATGAATATATGTATATAAATATATGATGTATAAAAGCTCTTAAAAATAGCTGAGTCATCTTTTTTGTACACAAAGTATGTGGACACCTGAACATCATACCTATACCATTAAACTGCTGCTTTAACAGTCCCCACTTTTCTAGGAAGACATTCCACCAGATTTTAAAGCTTGTCTTTAAGGATTTGCTCGTCGTTAACTCAAGGAGCATAAGTGAATTTGGCCGATGATGTTAGGATGTTCAGGGGCTACACGGTGGCTCTGTGTTAGCACCGTCACCTCACAGCTAGACGGGTTTGCGTCTCAGTCAGGACGCCTGGGATCTTTCTGTGTGGAGTTTGCATGTTCTCCCCGTGCAGCGTGGGTTCCCCCTGGGTTCTCCGGCTGCCTCCCACAGTCCAAAAACATGCTCCGGTTAATTGGTGACTGGTGACCTGTCCAGGGTGTCCCCTGTGTTCGCCTTGAGTCGGCTGGTGTAGGCTCCAGACCCCCTGTGACCCGAGTGAGGATTAAGCGGTGTATAAATAATGGATGGATGGATAGATGTTCAGGCCTCTGATTTGGGTTAAGGTCAGGACTCTCTGCTGGCCAGTCACGGTCTGACAAAAAAAATGCCTCATGGACCCTGTTGATGCATGCTGGAATTATCCTGTTGTAACACTCTGCCCCAAAATGTACACCTAAAATATCATTTGTACTGCAGCATTAAGATTTACCGAACATAAACTAAGTGGCCCAAACCATGAATAACTGTCATTCTAATAATCCTGTGCCAAAGAGCCAGCACTATGTACTCAGACAGGTAGTGTTCTCCCACAAAATAATTAGGCCAAACCCAGTTTGCCCATCAGAGCAGAGTGATGAGTCATCGCTCTCGATGTATCCACTGTTCCAGCATCTAATTGCTGTGTGCTTTATGGCTGTCCAATCAAGGCTTGATTTTGCATATGGTCATCCTAACCTTGTATGCCACTGTTTGGACATGGACATTCATTCTATGCAATACTCCACAAACTGTTCCTTTGCTACTGTTGCTTCTGGAGGCAGTTTGGTATGTCACTGCTGTTCTGTAAGTTTGTGTTGTGCTGTACTGTTATTGCACCCAAGCTGTGCAAACCCTGGTGGAAAGAAATTTGATGAATAGACTTATTGAAAACCCGTTATCACTTGACAGTGCCGCATTAAAAGTCAATGAGCTCTTCAGTACAACCCGTTCTGCTGCAGATGTTTGTAAATTCAGATTGCATGGCTGCATGCTTGATTTTGCACCTGTTAGCAGTGGCTAAGGCAGCTCAACCCACTAATGAGACAGGCTGTCTGCATACTTTTTAGTCATATAATGTAACAAGTATTTCAGTAAAGTTAAGACGTGATTGTTGGAATTTATGCTCTGCAGTTTCACCACACGGGCTAAGGGGAAAAATATGTCAACTTCTAGTCAATCTTGTCAAAGATTGAACTGTAAAAATGAGGGCAGATTGATGTAATTGCAGAAAATATTCAGAATCTGTTGATATTAGAGTCATAATCCACTTAATGTAGTGATAGTGGTTGCTGTTATAGGGACTAAAAATGAGGACAAGCACAAAGAGGGAGAGTGCTGTAGACAGCTGCTCTGAAGACTTCATTTAAGGCTTCAAATCTTCATTGAAGACAGCAATAATCTCTGTTTTCCTCTTTCTGTTTCCTTCCCACATCTGCTCATCTCCCTCCACTGAAGGACCAAAGGCCATATTTCTCTTTCAGTCTGTCTCTCTTGCACTCTCTCTTCCTCCATCTCTCTATTTCTCTCTCATTTGCTGCCAGATGAAATGCATACATGCTCTGGTAGAATAGAGAGCACGAAGAAATGAGCAGATGTTGAGACAGATGGGAGGATGGAGAGAGAGGTGTTGGAAATGCAGCAAAACGGACAGACCAGGATATATATTTTTAATAAATATGATCATAGATTATTAACAAATCTGCTCTCTAGGTTTGGCTCACTATGACATTTGTGGCAATGTAAACAGAAGTTAAATATTAAGTAGAGCAGAGACTGCAGGGAGGCTTTGGGACTGATTTTATTTTATTTATTTTTTTCTGTGTAATGAATATTAAATGAGGTTGCATGAGGAAGGATGGGTGACAGGCAAATTAACAGATATTTAACACACACACACACACACATACACACACACACACACACACACACACACACAGATGCTTACAAGTGAGTTGCAAAGTAGGAGTAACAATTTTGGGTGCCCCGGTTCCCTCAATGTGAAAGGCCCAATCATTGTTCCTAAAGAAATTGCTATGTAACCCTCATTAGCAGCCTTGGTTTGGCATGGCTTCCAGTTCAGTCCAAATCGCTAACAATTGTCTTCCAGTTTAAAATTCTGCCATGTTTGCTGCACGCAGTGGATAGAAACTAAGTTATGGCTTAGAAAGCGTAGTCAATGGATCAAAATTAAACACAATCTGCAGCGCTGGAATAATTTTTTTTGTGTGTGTGTGTTTTTTCTCTATCAGTTTAGAATTTTTGAATCAGAATTCAGCATCCGTGGCACAACGTTTGATAAAACAGCTGCAATGACAACGTGTTTTGAATTTCCTAACGATTAAAACATGTGCTCAGCTTCTTTTTTAATAGCAACAGCACCTGAGGTTCATACATATTCAGATACGTGCACCATGCCAAAATGATTTACAAATGCTTTAAACTTTTGTCAATAAGAGAGTTCTGTGTTTCCGATTTAAGGAACATCCAGGATATTGGGAAGGAAAAAAACCCAGAAACAAACAAAAAAATATATATTATTTTTTCCTTACTCTCTGAAGCCCAATCAGTGGATGCTCATTTGTACTGTTTGTGGGCGCTACTGCAGTATAGAGTCCAAAAGCACGTATTGTATTTTTGTTTTTACAGACTGTGCTTAGTGCAAATCATTAGTTTTTTTTTGGCATATTTTAAAATGAGACATTTAAACGAAAGACCACAATTTTAAATTTTAGTTCAGTGACCACTGGACGATAAAAACTATAATGATTGTTTTGGTTTTTACCGTTTTTGGCTCTGACAAATGGTGTTATTTCAGCAATTTTTAAAAGATACCTGGCGAGGGTAAAATAGACACAGTACCAAACTGCACACTCAGTTAGTGATCGAGTGGGCTACACAAGACATCTATACATACATGACTGTGGAAGTGTAATACATGGATGAGCAGGCATCATTAGCACATGAGAGGGAGGATGAAGGAATGGCGGCTACATCGACTTATCCACTCAGTGTGTTCATGTTTCACCCCCCCTTTCTTTTTCTCTGACACATTCTGAACATGTGCAAAGCTCTGGCATCTGCAACTTGTTTTGTTATAGCTCCGAGGGCTGCATTAGTTTGAGATCTGTGCCATGAACTGTATACCAACTCTTCCACCATGGCTTAAATAATTTATCTTCTTGAAGCTGTATTGCAAATTTTGCTCGTTTTGATACAGATATCAAAGGAAGCGTAGTATGTTGGGTTGCTCAACTATCGAGCCTTACACTGATACCCTCAGGGTGCTTTGTGCCTCACTTACGCCCGTGTTTGGATGCTGAAGAGAAAAAGAAACAGCTGGATTTAATGGTAAAATACACTGAAATGGTGAAGACACACAACAGATGTAGTAGAAGAGCAGTAGACAATAGTGGAAGGAAGGAAAATAAATTATTATTATTTTGGTGCCTGTGTTTATATGAAGAAATGTCTGCTTTCCTTTTTGTGTATGTGTGTAGTTGCACACTGGTGCAGAAGTGACTAAATTGTCGCTATCCAAAGGGAGACAGACAGATGTTCATGTTCATGTTGACAGAATAAGAACAACCTCATGTTTATAATCGCCTCTCTCCTTTCTCTCTCTCTCTCACTCACTCTCTTTCTCTCTGTCTTATTTTTTATTTTCAGACACAGCATATGTTCGCGTTTTTATCAGCGACGTGAACGATAACAAGCCAGTGTTTGCACAGACATCCTATGAAGTCGATGTGGATGAGGATGCTGACGTAGGCTTTGCCATTCTCACTGTCAGTGCCAATGATGGGGATGAAGGTGGGTGGCATGGATAAAGGAATATGTATATGTGAATATGTGTGTTTTTTGAATTTGGGTGATGTCGATTCAGAATGGAAAGTGTAGGGGTGATGGTGGGGATGAATCCACAATCAGGCACATTTACTCAAGTGCATTGCTAAAGTGCTTCACTTTTTTCTCGCTCAAGAAAAACTTTCATGACTTGTTGCTATAGTCTGACCCTCTTTTAGTTTGAGAAAAGCGCTGAAACATGTCATGAAGTCATGAAAAACATAATAAAATGTGAGTTTGAATCAGCCAATGTAGAAGAACCCATTTAGTACAACCTTTCGAAAGAAACTGCAAAGTGTTGAAATGTGGTTTTTCATGAATTTGGGCTTGAAAACATTTTTCCTTATTTCAGTCAAGCATTTTCTTACTGCTGAGATTTCCTGAGGAAGCTTGGAAATGTCCTTGGATAATTCTGACATGACTGCTTTATAATTTTTTTTAACACGCTGTCAGTAGCAAACTATCAACATTTTAAAATAACAATGTCGTTCTAAGTTAGGAAAAACGGTGCTCAATTTAGTCAAGTTGATGAGTTGTTTTTAAGGATACTAGTTTTATTTTATTTTTTCTGAATAAAACTAAAGACAACAAAAGTCATATTTAAAATTCTGACATGAAGTACAACAAGTTAGGGTACGTTTAGAATACTTAAATGCCCCATATTAGGTGGAAAGGCCAAAATCCTCTTTTTGATAATGCACTAATTAAGAGGTCTTGTGAGGATTTAAGCGCTTGCCAAGATTATGACATACAAAGTTTTCGTTCTGTGGAGGCACACACTGGAGGCAAATGTCAGGCCATAAGATAAAAGACAAGGCCCTTATTACTTTTAGGAAAGACTCTTACTGCTTTAGTGCCACTACTTTTAAACAACAGTCCTATAGAGTATGGTGAGTACGATGATTGTGTCTCATAACTGTGTTTTTGTAGCTGTTTCTAAAGACATCCACAACTAAAATTTGACTGGCAAATGTTCCCCTTTTTAAAAATTACTTTATTTGTTACTGAGGTATTACTTCGTGAGATGGAGAGAAACAGCATCCCTATCTTTCTGAGTATATGTGAAGAAGACAGCTTGAGGCAAACGTCAGAGAAGCTCTCTATAACTTGCAGCACCCTAGAAAACTTCCTTGCTCAAAACCTCAACTCAAAAAATGTATTTTTCAAAATGAAACTAAAATAAATAAATGACACAGCAGGCTGAACATATTGTTAACACAGACCTTCCAAGTAGTGACTCAGTGGCAAATGATTCTGTCAAAAAAGATGCACACAAAATGTGTGAAATTTGGTTTGATTTGCATCTCACATTGAAATAAAAATACAAGAATGTTAAAAAAGAAAGAAAATGATTGGACTCATTGTTGCTCATTGGTCATCAGTTTTCCAACAATGTGAAGCTGAAATTCGAGCTGGAAACATCCCTGTTGGAACTGAACTGTCCCTAGTAACTGCACCTTTGATGCAGGCTAAAGCGTAAAATAAAATGACGCCTTTAAGTTGGGTCAAATGGTAAACATTTGGAGCTCATTATCTGGTTGCTACTGTAACTTGGAAATGTGAAGGAGTGTCTTTGTTTGAAATAATCCAAATCAGCTGAGCTTTAGCCTGGAAAAGCCTAGAAGTTGTGTTCATAAATTTGTTGCTGCTAGGCCTTTTTGCTTTCAACATGTCCAATGAATAATGCCTACAAGCAAGTTGTTCCGAACCACAGTTAGTCGCTATTCAGACTTAAAAGCATCTCATTATATCCCATTTTCTGTCCGGAGTTTGTCAAAATGAGAGGCATAATCTTTAAATTTTAAGCTCATCACACTTTGCCCCTGACTGATGTAACTAAGTAGTAATATTAGTGATGTTATCGGCACTAAACACTGTGTGTCTGGCCTTGATGTCCGTAATGTAACACACACTCACAGCCTACTGGAGTCCAGAATAAAGTTACTACCAGCTGAGAGACACAGAGGAAGTCTGTGTGAGTGCATGCTGAATTTTTCTTTTTTTGTGTGTGGTGTATAGAAGGTTTAGTTAATGAAGGAAGCAAAGAAGAAGAAGATTGCTTAAGTGATTTTACACTGCTGCCGGTAATGAGGACAAGACAATGCCTGTTCATATCAAACGGCTAATAAAGTTAGCCTTCGTCATTACCAGGCCATTTAACATGATGGTATAGACCACCAGATAAAAGAACAGTTTAAGGGTGTTGAATATTTGAATAGATTCAAATGCCAATGCTGAATCACCAGCGCTTTAAATGTTATGACTGTACTGAAAACGGATTAGCAAGATCTGGTTTGCAGTTCAAAATGTAGAGATATTTGTCATAATTATCTCCCTTGATCATCAAAGATTTTTGGAGGATTGTTGCAGGAATACTGAATATCCTGAACATCTTTTCAGCAGCAAACCTCCTGTGTGCTTGGGAGGTGATTTCTATATGCTTGAAACTTTGTAGCTTGCATCAGCAGTTGTCAGCTTTTACTCACAGAAGTTTCAGTGGGTACAAATGGAAGCCTAGAGTTCTGTCTAAAAAACATGGCAAAATATCAGTCCTGCCACAAAGCAGCTGAATAAATGACATTCAGAGGGCCCCATTAAAGCATCTTTTCGTCTTTATCTTATTTGACACTTCTGATATCTTCCCCTTAATGAGGCATTCCACTGTGGGGCTTCCCCTCTCCTTAGGAGTTGCAAAATTGTCCTAATTGCTGTGTACCTTGGAAAGGCTTACCTCTAAAATCATCTTTTGTCCTTTCTCCAGCATCGTTGCATAATTAACATGATGGTTCATTGCTTATGTCTTTCATTTTAACAAGTTAAAATATTAACCTCAGAGTGTTGTTGATTTAAATATGTGATGAAATGTTAACAACAAAGGCATTCTTGGCCTGGCCTTTGGTATAGACGACTTTGAAGGCTAGTTTGAAGTTGATTGTATGTTTTTTTTATTGTAGTGTTGCAGCAGAAGTTTATACCTGTGCAGGGATCTACTGTATACTTACCTAAACTCAGCAATGGCTGTAGATCATTGCACATCTCACAGAGTGAAGCTGCCATCAATCATTTTACAGTCTTTCATGTAATTTGTGTTCTTCCTGTTTATAAAGACTTTTTTTTAAACTTGATATTGGTCTTTGAGGCAGCGTGCCCCCCCAGGCTACTGCAGCACCTTGGTAAAACTGAACCAGTTCTGGGGAGAAGTGCTGTGTAACAACAAACATGAGTGATAAAAATGTCCCCTCCCTTGTCTTTCTGTAACCCACAAGTGTCTTGGCTTATACAGATCCTAATAAGACGTGAACACATCAGTGTGCTTCAAGAGAAGAGAGCAGTTGTTGCCATTACTTAAACCATTGATTACTGTCAGCTAGATGGGGCTGAATGTACAGAAGGGAGATGATGCAGTGTACCCACAGTGTGGCTGAATGAATTCAAATTCAAATCACTTCATTTATCCCCTAGGGGCAATTCAAAAGCTCACTGAGTATTTAATATAAAGACATCAAAAAAGAAAAACAAACATTGTGTAGGACTGCACCATATTGATAAAAACAACTGACATTGTAAAACTTTATTTTTATCTTTTGAAATATGAAAAAAGACAGCTTAGTAAACAAGCCATAAGGGTAATATACCGCCTGCAAGGTGCAGTCTCTGGCCAGAGCACTGCACCCTGGTCCACCAGTTCCAGTGGCAGCTTTCACCGTGTTCATCGCATTCTCTGTTGTTGTACTGACTTGACATCTGTCATTGTGGCCCCAAGCAGCCAAAGCTTCTCTTATTTTCTCTGTGATGTTGTAACTTGTATGATCATCCAGGAAAAATGCCTTTTGCATCAGTGACTTTTCAGTTGGAATAAAGTGGACTTTAAGACTTATGTTGGGCTCTGTTGTCTGGACGAACCACAAGTCTGCTGTAGCTGCGTAATATTTCGCTTGTGACAGCTCTGTTTCAATTTGTGCGTTGCAATTTGAATACAGCCCCAAAATGGCAACTTGAGAAAAAAAAAAAAAACAGGTGTGTGATTGTATCACATCATCAACTTCTTGTCCAGAGACCAGATCGTGGTCTTAAAATCCTCTTTGGGAACAATGTTAATTGGTATCATGTCTTTTGTGAGTTGAAACGTTGATCAAAGTTGAATCGCATCAGTGATTTCTTTCTGCTGTGTGGAACCTCTCCCATATGGTGCAACACTGGCAAAGGCGTGTGAAATATTATGTTGCTTTGGACGGCGTCCAGATCTTACCATGGTAATTTAAATCGTCACCTCAAACCTCTGTATGACAAGTACAAACAAATTTGTTCTGTTGCTTAATCTGATGGCAAAAATTCCAAGACATTGTTAACAAAGGACCTGTTTTTGGTGAACATCATCCTTTCTGGAGCTAAATATTTCCATACAACTGATGTTGCATTTTTTCTGCAACCAGACCTTCTCTCCTTTCTTTCTTTCTTTTTTTTTTTTTTTGCCATCTTTCTCCTGTTCCTTGTTTCTTTTGCTGTGCACACAAGGAACTGGTATGACTACAGACTTGTTGTTCTGTGTATCCAAAAGTCTTAAATCAGAGTAAATTATGTTCTATTAGATAGACCTCTCTTGTTGGTTAGTCATGGCGTCATGTGTGAGAACCATAGAAAGCAAAAAAGACAAAAAAAAAAGAAGAAAAAAATGCACCATTGCAGTGTCAAAGCTGATACAAAACATTGTGCAGCCCTAAAGTGGAGAAAACATTTCAATGCTAGAGGAACTCACATATGATCAACTCATCATATGTCTTCTATGTGAAACCTTAAAGACATAAATAAACATATAAAGAAAGTAGTAACGTCCAGTTCATAGTCTTGTTGTATAAAGTTGGCTAAACTGGAAATAACACCAGTTAGCTTAAGCTACTGAACAGTGCTTGAGCAAATTTAATTGCATTCACATTGCATTACTTTCAAATTAAACACAAAGGTCATTTAGCCCAGTAAGGGTGGTGAGTGGTGGACCACCAGGAGGCCAGTAAGGGGAGGGGCTTTGGTTCAAGTCATTATATATGTGTCTGCAATGACACCATTACACCACCTGGGCTCAAATAAAAATGTGAGCGAGTACAACGGATATCTCTCCTTGTGTGTGTGTGTGTGTGTGTGTGTGTGCGCGCGCGCGTTGGTATGTCCGGATTATGGAGACTTTTTATCGGTTTACACACTGACGTTATGAGGACAGTCGGGGATTATGAGGACACCCCCAGTGTCCCTATAATTCAAACAGTGTAGCAGCACTCAGGAGGCCGCCATGAACGGCCTCTTTCTTTTCCTCAGTATGTCCCCACAACTCTGTTAACCTGACATTTTGTGTGTGTGTTTGTGTGTGTGTGTGTCTGTGTGTGTGTGTGTGTGTTCTGGTCCCTGTATACTCCAGTTTCAGTAAAGTACAGTACCTAGGGAGATGAAAGATTTTTAAAATTGGTACAGCTGGGAAAAACATTAATTTTCTTCCATTTGTTTGTTTATTTTAACTGCTGCATTACTCCCTGTGTTGTCTTCTCTCTATCCCGCTCTCTCCCTCTCTCTTTTGTGTCTCAGCAGCTTTCTAAATACCTAGGGGATTCAGACAACTAGAAAAAAAAAACAGAGTGAAAGTGAAAAGAGGGGATGCAATTGCATATATCCCCTAATGTCTCATTTAAAATGAAAACAGACAGACGGTACAAAACGATCTGGATTAGAGCTTTCTCCCCTCTCCTTCCCTGACTTTCATCTCGCTAATAAGCTGTGAATCTCATCTTGTCTTCCGAGGTTTCTCCTTTCCCTTTCATATTAACATTAGGGTTGGGGGATGAAACAGTGATTGAGATGCAGACCTTGGCTTTACCAGTAATTGCATTGAGGAGGAACATTTTGTTGATCAGCATCTAATAGACTTTATTAAAAAATGCTTTACAGAAACAAAAGATGAAGATGTTATTATGTGAGTTTGTGAGAGAACTTTGGAGATGAGAAGAAGCACCACTTTGCAGTAAAATGGTTTTAGATTGCTTGGAAAAATTAAATGATGCTACATTTCTGATGTGTTTAAGCATTCTTGAATTTTGAAATACTTCTCAGGGACAGACTGAAGGCCTCTCATGACTTATATTTCTTAAAAATATAGAAATAGACATTAATTGTATAAAAAAGCCATGTTATGCCAAACAGCTTTGTTTAAATTGGTCATTGCCCATATGTTGTGGTCGGACCTTCTAAATGATGCATATATGTATGTTTATCTCCGTATGATGCTAGACTATAATCATTTTTAGAGGTTTTATTTATTTCTATTTTGGGAGATCTTAAGAACACAACCTCACTTTTCTTTTCTTTTTTTTTTTTTTTTGATAGAAAAGCACGATTCATCTCCAATTTAAAAGAGATCTCAATATTTCTGAGACAGGTATTTGAAAGTATCCAAAGTGTTGCTTTTGCACACAGACAAAAAAAAGCATGTAATGCAACATTTGCCAGCACAGACCGCCTTGCACTCTCCCACTGTAAATACATTTTGTGATATTCTGGATGTTTGATTCCATCCACATAAACACAGTTTTAAAGCCATCGGATGTCTTTATGAAATGTGCTACGAAGGACCCCTTTTTTGTTTTTACATACAGTCTAAGGTGATTTATTACATGAATAATAACATTCCTTATATGGATTCTATTGATTATTTTTCAGTTTATGTTTTCTACCTTTGGAACTATTTTAAACCATTGAAAAACATTTAGATGCCATTACTATAAGTTTTTGATAACTGGAAATACTGGATTATACAGTTTTCTGATTGATAATTAATGTATATTTCAGCCCACATTAGTTCATTCATTTGCATATCAAATATTTATTTCTTTAGTCTTTTTTGGTAACAAATTGAATGATAATGCAATGAATTAATAGTGAAGTTTCCTGTGTAAAAAGAAAACATTGGTCTTATACAAATTACTTAAACCAATTTAAAACTTCATTTTCCTTATAAAATCTTTGGATTAGGGTCTTAAAAAGTTTTTGTTTGTTTGTTTGTTTGTTTGTTTGTTTTTTTCTGGATGTTTGTATTGTGTAGTTATGCAATACTTTTTTGGACATCTGTGTAAAATTTAAAGATATATAAAATGTTTATTTGTTATTATTTTGGACATTTTCTATCACATCAGCAAAAAAAAAGAAACTAAAACCTGCCATGTTTTAATGTATCTTCATAGAGACTTCTTCTGTCAGTGCAGGTCTTGAACCACTACTTATCTAAGGTTGCTTTGAGAATATAATTGCTGGATAGACACCCTGGACAGGCTGTCAGTCTATCACAGGGCTACACTTAGAGACAGACAACCAAGCACACTCACATTCACACCTACGGACAATTTAGAATCACCAATTAACCTCAACATTGCACATGCACTTCCATTTTGCACTAATGTACATATACCTTTTTCTACTAGATGTGTAAATTCTTGTATATATTTGTCTTATTATCTTGTTTTATTTTTTATTAATATTCATCGTATCTTATTCTTTTCTTTCTTTAGTTATTTTACTTTATTTTATTTTATTTTTTAATTTTCCTATTTCTATTATTCGTGCAAATTCCTAGAGCGACACCAACAGCCAAAACCAAAGTCCTTGTATGTTGTGTACGTACTTGGCCATTAAAGCTGATTCTGATTCTGATTCTGACATGTTTTTGGACTGTGTGGGAGGAAGCCAGAGAACCCAGAGAGAACTCACGCTGCACGGGGAGAACATGCAAACTCCACGCAGAAAGATCCAGAATGTCCTAACTGGGAAGCGAAGTGGGGATCTTCTAGCTGCGAGGCAACGGTGCTAACCACTGCCTCACCGTACAGCCCCAAAGAAAACATGCTTCCTTTTTTCTTTTTTTTTTATTTGGCATTTCAGTTGGTTTAGAATTATCCAATTTTTTTTTTTAAAAGAAGGTTTCTGTGAAGTTTTTGTTTCTTCAAAAGTTAAGTTTTTCTCTGAATGGCATTAAATTGACTTTTTTAAAAGATTTTATGTCATGAAGATGTTGTTCTCACACATCAGGTATGGCAATCACCTTTGGATGGAGGCTATAAGCTGCCTGCTGTTTAAGGACTCATAACAATCAGATCTAAGACTTACTATCTGATTCTGTTCTGCCAGCTAAAGCAGGCTGATGCTATCAGGTTCACTTAAGGGAGACAGATTATTGTATTGACAGAAACAGGCAACACTGAACAAGATGGGAACTTCCAGTCTATAGGGGATCAAGCTTTCAGCGATGCTTTTTCATTGTAAAAAATACAAGATGTAAACTCTTCACCTATTTCTTTTTTTCACTACAGCTCCTGAAGGACTTACTTACTATACTCTGCTTTGTCAGTAACTGAGATTCACTTGTACAAACTGTCATTCCTTATTCACTTCTTTCTTTTCCTGGTCTGCAGGTGGGAATGCGAAACTGCGTTACCAGATCACATCGGGAAACATGGGAGGGGTGTTTGATGTGGAACCAGAGGTGGGAACTATCTTTATCTCCCAGCCTCTGGACTATGAAAAGAACAAAAGGTAGGCACACACTCCAGGCACTCCAGGATGGAAGCCTTTTAGACAAAAGGTAAATGCTTGTCGAAGGATTTTACCTTTATGTGATGTGGTTGCCTCCGCTCGGCCAGAGGCTTTGATGGAATTTGCACGATTTGGAACAAACGTCCACTTGGACTCAAGGATGCACAGGTTACATTTCATTGGTCAATGGTCAAGGTTACTGCGCAAAACACATTTTTGTCCAGAGGTCGTAAATTCTTATGCTAGTTTGGACAAAATTTTGCACAAATATTGAATAGGTTTGAAGCATTGACATTTTACATTGAAAAGGTTAATGGTCAACTTCACTGTTACCTTATAATGCAACACTTTTCTGGCCATTGTTCAACTCAATAACTCAGGAACGGAAAGAGAGATTGTGACCATATTTCACATTTTAGCCACTGCATTGGTGAGATGGCTCTTGTGTTCACACCTTTAAACAGTAGTGATTGTTTGGATTGTCTGTGATGCTGAGTTGAAGATATGAATGAAGCATCCATGTTTCAGAGTTTGTAGCTCCCATAATCTCCAAGTACTGGACGTTATTCACTAGAATAATGAATGCCACACGCATACATTTATTCAATTTTGCTAAAAATTGAGCATTAAATTCCAAGATTCCTTTTTAACCTTAGGTTTCAACGTGCTTCACAATGTGCTTCAAACTGTTTGAATGTGTGTACAAATAGAGGCAAGCCTACAATGCTTCCTGAAAGCAACTTGGGAATCAGTATCTTGCCCAAGGACACATTGAGGGAGATCTTTTTAACCTTATGATTGGTGGTCCACCCCCTCCACCACCTGAGCAATGGTCACCCCTTGTATGTTCTATAAGTCTGGCTTCACATGGATGTAAACTGCAACTTGAATGGCTTGTTAAGGCATACAACTGTAATGTGCAAATTCTTGTTTTTAAATTTAAAAAAAAAAATTAAAAAAATTCCTTTACATACATGCTATAGCTTCAACTGATACTTTGGATTAATACCGTTGCTGATTCTGTGAAAGGTACAAGCTTCATGTCCTGGCTTCAGATGGAAAATGGGAAGATTACACAACAGTGACAGTGAATGTGGTTAACAAGAACGACGAGGCTCCTGTGTTTACTGTCAATGAGTACTACGGCAGCGTAACAGAGGAGCTGGATGGTTCACCAGTGTTTGTGTTACAGGTACAGTCTAACTACAGTCTTATCGCATTATTTGGCTAAATGATGGCGTGTGTAATTTTTTTGCAAACATGTTTATTTCCATATTTTTTGTTTAATCACGTGCAATTGACCTTTCTACATGGCAAGTTTTGACGTTATCTCGCTTTTCAAAAAGGAGGCTAAACAACCAAGCAGTGTTTGAAGAACAAAAAAAAGTCTGATCTTACTGTTTTGTTCATAAATGTAAAACTAGAACTGACTAGTCATTTACTGCAATACAACATCTATTCCTTTTCTTTGATTCCGTGTCTTTCAGTGCACGCAGTGTTTTTAGAGCTAATTATCATTTGACCATGAAGTTTCTGCTTAAAAATGAATTAAAACAAGGGAAAAATTGTTTTTTAAAAACAAACAAACCAAAAAAAAAAAAACTAATGTTAGAGATGGTAATGTAAAATTTTAATTTTCAGTTTTTCATTTTTGTTTTTGTTTATTTTTTGTTTTTGTTTTTGTTTTTTGCTTTCTTTGTGCTATTATTCATACAGTCGGTCGTCAATGCTACAGCCTTTATTTGCCAAACAATTCTTATAATTGCAAACAATCTTCATTCATGTCTCCATGGGATTTTGGACCACTTTTTTTTTTTTTTTTTTAACCACTTTTCCTTTGAGATTGGAAGACTTCCCTGACATCACTTGGGTCTTCAATTTCCTCCACAGATTCTTGATGGGCTTCATGTCTGGACTTTGGCTGTATGTTTCAGATCATTGTATTGTTAGAAGGTCTAGTGAAAAAAATAAAAACAACTCTTCCTTAGGCAGCAGACTGCCTGATGTTTACCTCCACAGTCTTAAAGTCCCCTTTTCTCACAATGCCATTTGCTTTTGTGAGGTTGCCTGCTTCACTGGTTAAAAAACATGCCAAAAGCATTACATTTCAACGACCATGTTTGGACCTTGGAAACGGTGTTCTTGGGGATAAATGGTTTTCCTTTTTTTTTTTGCTAAATGAAAACATGTCCCTGTATTCAGACACCCCTGAACCATGACCTAAGGCTTCTTTTTCCAGCTGAGCTTTGGCAAAGCCTAGGTGAGCTTTTGTTCCTGACATGCAGCAACCTCCTTGGTCGGCATCCATGGAAATCAGCCTCATGCAGTTTCTGTTGGAGTGTCTGCCTTAAGATGTTGGATCCAGTATTGCTCAGGAGGGCCTTAGTGCAATAAGCCAAGATGAATTCTAGGCTCACCACCACTATGCCTGTCCGTGCAGGGGTCATTTTTGGTTTCCTGTCATGCCTTTTGAGATTTTTCTCAGTGTGGAATTCTTTGTAATTTCTAATTATGCTTTGCTCTATGGTTACTAGCACTTGAAAACACTTAAACATGGCTTTTTAACCTCTCTCTGACCTGACGTTTTACTTATGTGTTGAGGATGATCAAGAGGTAGCAGAAAGGACAGGAGAGGCAGTAGAGGGTTGAGGTCGAAAAGATAGGCCTTTGTTGGATATACTGGAGAGTTTATAACTGCACAGAGCAGTTGTGGAGTGCTTCCAGTCAAGATATCCCTCCAAGTCAGCAGCATTTCAATAATTGAATAGTGTAAAAACTGACTGCACACTTATTGCCCTCTCTAAATCAATGTGCTTTTCACGTTTTAGGTAACAGCATCTGACCCAGATAAGGATGCTGACCAGGAGGCCCTACGCTACTCTCTCCATGGTCAGGGTGCTGAGAGTGAATTCATAATTGATGAGGTCACAGGCAAGATCTATGCCCAACGGACCCTGGACCGTGAGGAGCGTGCCGTTTGGCGTTTTGTTGTCCTGGCTACAGATGAGGGTGGTGAAGGTCTGACAGGCTTCACAGACGTCATTATCAACGTGTGGGACATCAATGACAATGCGCCTATCTTCACCTGCGCTCCCAGCTGCCACGGCGAGGTAGCAGAAAACTCTGTAATAGGGACATCTGTAATGGAGATGACAGCGACTGACCTGGATGACTCAGCTGTGGGGCAGAACGCTGTGCTCTCTTACAGGATTGTGGGCAGTTTAGATGCCACTAACATTGAGATAGGAGGAGTGCCCATCTTCTCAGAAATGTTCACTATCAACCCCACCACAGGAACCATCACTGTCGGGATGGGTGGTCTGGACAGAGAACAGGTTGAGTCCTACCTCTTGGTGGTTGAGGCTAGGGATGGGGTAGGAATGACAGGAACTGGAACTGCTACCATTCAGATCAAGGATGTGAATGACCATGCTCCCAGATTTACTGATCACTCCTGCACGGCAAGGATCTCTGAGAACGCAGAGACCAATGCAGAGGTGGGTGAGTAGGGGCATCACTGCTGGTGTAGTGCCATTTGATTAGCTTATTTTACAGAAAAAAGTGCTGTCCAATCATTTTTTAAATGTCATTTGTGTATGGAAGTATTGCATTTTGATTTTAGTGTACTTTACCTCCAGTATCTGCTAAAAAGACAATGCACAACAAATCAAAACTAAATACTTGGAGGTCACATGGAAGATATATGCCTGTGACACCTGAATCCCCATTCAAACTCTTGGGGATATTTTTGTATTTTTCATTTATTTATTAGAAAAGGAGAGTCTAACCCAAAAGTTCTCTGCAGCTCTTTGCAGCTTTCACTGACTTCTGTCCAAAGGACACTTAAACCATGGCTTCAATTGAACTAAGTGTCAGACATCTCTCAAGCAAAAAGTTCATTTTTTGTTATCTTAAGTAGAGCAAATTTGCTGTTAATTTCTTTTTTTTTTCAAACTGAAAAGCATGTTGAGATACAGTTCCGCTATCTCATAACTCAGGTATAGGTTAGGGTTAAGCCTAGGTGTCAGTAATTGTTACACAGAAAATATGACTTAATTTTGAGTTAGCGTCTTGACAGGGTTGGGATTTAGCAAACATTAGAGCCTGACAGATGCAATTTACATCCAAATTCATATCCCTTGTCCCCAGTTGAAATGCACAAAGTATTCATTGCGCCAAGATGTAGCACATATCAAATGAAACTGCACAACTTGATCTTTCCAATGATGCTTGTTGCTCTGTTGGTGAGAAAAACTGTTTTGAATTTACATTTAAATTTAATCATAGTTCTGCATACAGAACCGCATCCATCTCCAACCTCATTTTATCTTGTTTGAATTACTCATGACCTTGTCATTGCATAGATATGGAACACACGTCACAAAAAGAGTGGAACTGGAGCTTTAAAATGTACTTGTCACAAGTATATAGTAATCATTTCAGAATGACAGATCAAACTTCTGAGAAGTAATGGCTTTACTAATTTCTTCAACTATTTTCATACCTGTGCTTCTCCGTTAAATAGGTCACAATGTCCATATCATTTCGCAATATACTGCATAACAAAATAAATAAGACAACGTACATTTTTCTGATGTTACTAGTTGTTATTCTGCGCAACACAGCAAATACAGCTTACAACAAATCTGTGCATTGTGTCCAGCATAGGCCTGACATTACATCCTTTGTTGTAGGAAAAAAATACAAAAACACAAACTTTTCTTTTCATAGCAATAATTTAGAAGCTGTGGTTAAAAGATGTGTGCAGGTCACATGCGCACAAGTAGATCACAAGCAACAGATCATAATCATTCAGTAGCTCACCATCATGGTTCATAGTGCAATTACCCTGAGGGGGCCATGGGGTTGAAATAAGTTCTTAATGTTTTGAAATCCCTGCCTTTGCCCTAAGTCAGCTGGGATAGGCCCCAGCCCACCGCGACTCTATTGAGGATTAAGCGGTGTATAGATTATTCAAATCAAATCAAGCTTATTGTCATTTTGCTGTACATACACAGTAGTACAGGCAAGATTAGAGAGTAATGATGGATGGATGGATGGATGGATGGATGGATGGATGGATGGCTGGATGGATGGATGGATGGATGGATGGATGGAAATGGTGTGACTTGCTTTAGAATAATCTAAGAGTTATTTTAAGACTGATGTAACAGTACTAGTCTATTTTTTTTTTGTGAAAAAACTACAACAGTGAGTCGAATACTCGTTTTGCTGTGTACCTGCTAGTTGTTAGACCAAATTTTGATAGTATAACAACTATAGTAACTTGAGTACGGAGTATTTCAGGGCAATATATCACCCCATTATGGTATGAAAATGTACAGCACAGATTTATTAGGCACGTCATTTGCTCTGCATAATCTGCTTTGCACTTTCTGTCTGTCAGTTTTTCAGTCTGTAGCTGAATCTATGCATCTGTCAAATATCTAAAGAGCCAGTACTTCAAGTGAAATAGAGCCCATGTACTTTATTCTTACAATGTTATTGTTGTTCTAAGGTCCTGGAGCTCGCTGCAGAGGACAAAGACACTGGAGAAAATGCCCAGCTGACCTTTAGTGTTGTGGCTGGAGACCAAGAGCAGAAATTCTACATGGTCAGTCACAAGCAGGAGCAGAGAGGCACCTTGAGGCTCAAGAAACGTCTGGACTATGAACGACACAACGAGCAGAGGTTCAACCTCACATTGAAGGTAGATGGAGGGCAATCTAATAAGAAAACCTTGCACTATTGAAGATTACTTTGATTCAGTTCTGTATCATTTCTCTCTCTCTCTCTCTCTAATTCATGGGATTTGATTTCACTTTTGTGGAGGGAACCTTTAGTCAAGGGTATGCAGCATGTGTGAATAGGATATGAAGAAATACAGTCTGAGCCAAGGTTGACAGAAGTCAGAGGATGAACAGTGCTGTGACGCCAGACTTTGAGGTGTTAAAAAAAAAAAAAAAAGAAATGGATTTTAGTAGGCATCAGAACTTTGCATAGATTCTTATACAGAATGTTCCTGGAAAGTTTTGTGCATTGTCAAAATTGATGGAAAAAATGGAAAAGGTTTTTTTTTTTCCCTTAGCAATGATCAAAACTTTGTTTTTTCTTCGGTACCCACAAATCCGTCAAACCAGCCTGTCAGCATTTTCGTCAAAAGCTAAGACAAAGAATTCCACGATGAAGAGAATGCTATAAAGCCTTTCAAAAAAAAAGGTGGAATATGTCAGGTACAGACATGAACTTTAAAGTGCCACAAGGGAACCTTTTTGTCTTGTCAGCAATGAGAGGAAGTTGTCAGAAAATAGTCTGGCAAATATTTTTGATTACAGGGCTGATGACAACTGCTTAGGTAAGTTGTATGTGAAGGTTTTTTGTTTTCACTTGGTAGAAACTTACAATCAGTCCTGAACTAACAATCACACAAAGGTAGAGTGCCTTGAAAACACTGCTGTCCTTCCTACCCGTATTCTGATCAATAATATTTGAGTGACAAAAGTATGTCTTAGCATGTTTACCTTTTCTATGCTGTATTATATATGAGACTGTATGTGGTTCCTATTTCAGGTTGAAGACCTAGACTTCTCCAGTCTTCTACACTGTGTGGTGGAGGTGGAGGATTACAACGACCATGCTCCTGTCTTCATTCCACACTTCTTGTCGCTGGCCCCGCTACCTGAGGACATCACTGTGGGAACTAGTGTGGCCCGTTTGGTAGCCAGCGACTCTGATTCAGGCCAGAACCGAGAAATCACCTATAGCTTATCAGAGGAGTCAGACCCTGAGGGTCTGTTTACTATCAACCAGTCCGGTGTACTCTCAGTGGCCCGGCCTCTGGATCGGGAGAGGATACCCCAGCATCACTTGGTTGTCATAGCAACTGATCATGGGGTTCCACCTCTAATAGGCAGTGCGACGGTTCAGCTGCCTTTGTTGGATGTAAATGATAACGGACCAGAGTTTGAGGCGGCATACTCCCCAGTAGTCTTTGAGAATGTGGCTGGACCACAGGTAGGCTTATTTGGGATGGATATCATTCTATCATACTGATTGATGTTATTGCATTGAAAAGAAGAAAAGTTAGTCGGAAGCAGAAGATTTTTTACTGTTGGTGCTGTAGATGAAAAAAATACACACTGAAAAATCCACCGTCCCTCATCCTCTCTCCTCTTTGTTTAGGTCGTACGGTTGAACCAAACATCATCCCTCCTCCGGGCTGTGGACCAGGACTCTCCTGAGAATGGTCCACCATTTCACTTCACCGTCCCCGCCGAGTATCGTCACAGCAATGATTTCTACCTTCAGGATAATCTAAATGGCACGGCGACACTGACGGCTCTGAGGACATTTGATCGTGAGCGACAGAAAGAGTTTCTCATTCCTATTATAATGAGTGACAGCGGCCGTCCAGCCAAAACAGTGACCAGCACCCTGACTGTGACCATCGGTGACCAAAATGATCATGCACATGTGGCAGGGGAGAAGAAAATTTTCATTAATAGTCACAGAGGTGAGAAAGTCATCTCCAACACTAGGTTGTTGTATTCACCATTATACCAAAAAAGAAAACAAACCAAAAAAATAACAGGCAAAGTTAAACTCTGGACAATATAGACAAAAAAATTTCTTTTTCCAAGTACATTTTCAACTTTGCCCTTAAAATGTACTCTTTTTGGGTAAAACTCATAATCTGAACCAAAGAACTTCTAATTGGTGTGTCTTCATGAAACACACCACTTTATCGTATTTTTCACCTGTGCTTCAATCCACCCATTATCACTACATTATCATTGTCTGCTTTATCTGTGTTTAGTCAGAATGAGGCCTGCAGTGCTATTCTAAGAAGTACAAAGGCAAGCCATTGCTCAATTTGACATGCAGTTAATC